TGACATGGCTGCCGACTACAAATTTACATATTCCAGATCAGATGGAAATGTAAGATGAAAAACTTCACTGGACAACATTTAAGCAAGCATTTAAGCAAACACAAACGTTCACACATTGGATTTCTACGCAAGACATGGGTATTTCAATCTTTTATGGAAATCTTCTGCTTCTGGCTAATACTGTACATGGATCAGATAACAAACTTTTGACAACTGTGGATCATTTGGTAGACCTTCGCACCTAGTTAGTATATAGATCAGGTAGAAAAATGTGATAATTGATCACCATCGGTCTAATATTCTGAACCTAATCAGACCAGGTTAACAAAATGTAACAGGGATCTACTGATTGAATTTCCTACATTATCTGTTAAATGGATCAAAATAAAAATTGTGTTTTGTTCTGTATAAAGCCCAGCCTGCCACCTCAAATTGAATGGTTAATTATGAAACTTACTAGCTAGAAAGAAAAATAGCTATTACAATTTTGAATGAATGATGCAGTGGAATTCAATGAGCTGTTTATTTTATTGTTATTTGTTTTTCTAGGTATCTTTCATTTTGTCAAATAATAAAGCTCAAGCTATTCCTTGACAGAGCGAACCCTAGAATTCATTCTTCCCATAACTGTCAGTGACTCATCACTGTTTTGCGTCTTTATACACACCTTGCAACGATTAATATTTTTAGCATATACGGATAAGATTTCTATCATCTGACTCACATCTGTCAACATAGTATTTTATTCAAGAATTGGGAACAGACTTTCACTATGACAAGTACAACTGTTTTGCCTATTTAGATGAGTTTTTAAGGAAGGATACAGTGCCTAGAAAACTTTATTGAGCCCACTAGTTTGGACCTTATCCTCATTTATTTAGATGCAAAAATTACTGCAATTAGATCTAATATTAATAAATGATAATTCCTTACGCTTATATAGCACCTTACTGGGCACTCCACTCAAGAGTGCTTTACAGTAATGAGGGACCCTCCTTCACCACCACCAGTGTGCAGCCCCACCTGGGTGATGTGACAGCAACCAGAGTTCGCCAGTACGCTCCACACACACCAGCTCTCAGTGTGGAGGGGTGATAAAGCCAATTCATAGACAGGGATTATTAGGAGGCCATGATTGGTAAAGACCGATGGGAAATCTGGCCATATTCTTTTCAAGAAGCACCCTGGGTGTTTTAATGACCACAGAGAGTAAGGACCTCTGAAGGACGGTACCTTTCTGCAGTACAGTGTCCCCATCACTAAGCTGGGGCATTAGGACCCACACAGACCACAGGTTGAGCGCCCCCTACAGGCCCCACTAACACCTCTTCCAGCAGCAACCTTAGTTTTTCCCAGGAGGTCTCCCATCCAGGTACTGACCAGGCTCTGGACCAGGACTGAATCCATACAGTGTGTGGAACCCTCAGTTCAGTAACTGGTGTCACCTGTCCTCAGCAGTCTTCAACTAGACGTTAACTGTGCATCAATCTCCTTCATAGCACAAGCTTTTAGGAATTTTACCCCATTCTTTCTTACAAAAAAGGCTGCTAGGTGGCATGATGCAGTCCAGTACCTTTCCCTTAGGTCTAGAGAAAATGGAAATATAGGCCAGACTGAAATTTCTAAACGGGACTGCTAAACTCTAAATCAACAGTGCATACAGTTCCTTGGAATTGTTTTTCTTTCATCTTATCTGCTTCAAGATGAAGTCAACATAAAGACTCCACTATTGAGAAATGTACCTATTAATAACAACTCGCTTTATTTTTTTAGAACCACACCTCGTTTTCTGCAGCTATGAATAACCTGGATTCCAGAGCAGACAAGATTATGCTCTCGGAGGCTGGTCCAGCAGTCGCAGAGCTCTCACACGCAGACTCAATTAAAAGACGTCAACTAGCCCGCTCGTCACTGGGCGAGCAGGTCTGCGTACGGCGAGAGGTAGCTCTCGCACATAAACACACGGAATAACATGCAAACTCCACTCGGATCACACTTTTAATCTTCAAGGCCTCCCAGCAGTAACTTTTCTGGTACAGAATTCTCGTTAATCCATAACAATTATCTACAAGGGAGAGGAGATGCATATCCATACAGTCTGGGTGAAAACCTAAGGGAGGATTTATGATGTTTAACCCTGTGTCACTGTGTCTCCTCAAAGGGTAAAAAGACAATCGTATTAGCATCTCATGGTGACTGGGAATCACGCGAACATCACAAGACCTGTTGAGCTTTGTAACTTGTTACTCGTTACCCCAGCTTGTTTAGAAAAAAAAACAACCACAAACTGCACAGTGTTCAAACCAGTTTTATTAAAAAAAAAAAAATAGATATCAAAACATCAAATGTCAAAAGTGCAGTACGGCAAACGTGACAAGTTGCGCTGCACGTTAAAAACTCCTTCCGTTAAAGTCTCCCCGCGTCTCTGAACCTCTGCAGCAGGGGGTCGTCTGCGCGCAAGGCGAAGGCCAGGGCGCGAGAGACGTAGTACTGGGAGTCCGCCCGTAGGTTCTGGATCACATCAGAGAGGAGATGGGCCCGTTCCACCCCACAGCCCGGCGCCTCATAGCCCAGGGCGGTGAAGTGAACGTGGAGGTGGTAGTAAGTGGGCACATAGTGCAAATAAACACGCAGCTTGTTCCCAGCAATCCCATAGCTCTTCAAGATGGCGGCCTGTAGGACAAGCATTTTTTTTTCCCCGTTACTCATCTCCAGCCAACAACATTCCCATTAGCCGGCTTTTGTATTCCGCACACGCATATGCAGGACAAACAGGCTTTTATCTAGTTTAGAGATCTCATTTAGCCCTGCGTGATTCATGAGCGAAGAGGCGAATTTTGTTTGTGTGCTGCACAAATAGATAGCGAGATATTCTATGCCCAGAGTGGAATGGTCGACAAAGCACACTCCCAAAATGTCCAGCAGGCAGACGTGCGTCTTATAAAATACTTTTTTATGGGCTGGGTTATCGTACTGACAATCATCAAACACCCTTACAGTAAGGAGGAGAATGCCAATGAGTGGAATAGGACCGATTACCTTTCCAAATGACTTGGCTCTGCCTTCAGGCCACTCCCGTTTTGTGGAAAGCAACCGATTCTTGAGACACCGCACAAAGCCATTTCAGAGTTTCTACGTGACTCTGCTAGAATTTCTGCAGCGTATGGAACACATTGACCTTTCACATCTCCGCCGAGGGCCAGGGGGCACTCCTGGTTTCCATAGGAGGCGCCACACCCCGGACGAGAGCTGGCTTTCAAAACGTCAAGATGGAATGCGTTAGGCCAGTTAAGGCAGTTTTCAGGGCCCGAGTGTTCATGAAGTGCACTAGTGGCTGGGCCCAAATTCAGAAACAGAAATAAAACAGAAGAGCCGTGACCCGACCCTCTGACCTGGCCACCTTTACCACTAATGCTGCCGAGGGGCGAGCCAGCCACCCGCTGATGGGACCTCTTGGAATGAGTCTCACGGCTAAGAGTTTCTGACCAATGCACATCAGGATGGGCGGCCCTGGGCTCCCTCACCTGTCCGCGCTGCTGGATGTTCAGTAGCAGAGGCAGGTGCGCCGCAGTGAGGTCTCGCAGGCTCCTGATGTCCCGTCGGTGCACGATAGCTATCAGGTACAAGTCATCCAGCTGCAAAGGGAGAACGGAACACAGATCCCGTCTGAAACTTGATCTGAACATTTTTTTTTTCAGCCGGTAGCATTTGTCTTTTTTCTCATGCCCCGTCCCCCCATCTACGACACCCACACCGTAAACTGCAGTTTGCTTCAGATACAAGTGGCCCGAACAAACGCAATGGCACTGTGGCACATGCACTTAGCAAATGATCAAATCCGTGGTGTACAGTAGGTGTAACCAGTAATCACTTTATTTTGCTAAGCACGTTACATGCACAAGGAATCTGATCTGGTTTTGATCGACCGGTGGTGACCTCGCCGGACAAGGTTTTGAGGCAAAAGTGTTCCGGGATGAGAGGAGTCACCGGCAAATCTTTTCGGCTTGAAAAGACTAAGCTGAGAGACACTGCTCTTCTAAAAAAGGAAATTAAAAAAGTAGGAAAACCTGAAGCGGCGCCGTGGATGTCATTCGTGCAGACTGAGGGCATCGCCTCACTGTAGCTCTGAAACAAGGGCGATGATTGGGGACGAGGTACAACTATTCAGAATATGAAAAGGTGGTGACATGGTGTTGGCAGTGTGAGTTCTACCTATAAATGACTGATACGGTTTCATTCCTATTTATTTTGTGTGCCTACCTAGATGGTTCTGTGGAACAGTTAGATAAGATAACATTACTTTATTGGCCATATACAATTTCTTGCATTAGGAATTTGTCTTTCTGCATACCCCAGCTTGCTCTCCATGAGACACACAGACAGGGAGAGAAGCCTGGGGTCAGAGCGCAGGGTCAGCCATTTATACGG